CTGAGGGTTCTAGGCGCACTCCGCCCTTTTGTGTTCCCACAGCCCTTGGCTCGGGAAACCTTGGCTAGGTGAAACAGCCAAATCCTTGGGGAGACTCCCCCGCCTCCCACGTGTTGTGGCCAGACCGGAGACCCCACCCCTGATAGCATCAAATTTCCATTTTAGGTGTTCCTCCTCCCTTAAGACTGGGAATGAAGGCCAGGCCAAGGTTTAGACCCCAAAGCACCATCTCCCTTCCGAGGATCAGATTCTGGAGTTGCTCCATCAAACCCAGCTCTTCCTTTTACCTAACCCTGTACGACCCCACACTTAACTCTTTCCGGTTATAGTCTCAGCACTACGGTGTTCTGAAATACCAGAAGGTGCTCCCTCTCGGCCCTCTTCTAGCCGAGGCCCTCATCACCGAGGGGTGATGGAGAGCTACCTGAGGTTACGGGGGCGGGGGGGATATCGAGCTCAGGGAACCCTTGAGCGCCCCAGGAGCAGGTGCTACAGGTTCACGAGTTTCCCACCCTTCCCCTGGCCCCCAAGCTCAACATGTATATCTTAGGGGAGTCCCCGGATCATGAGAACCAGAAGAGTCTAGTGACGGTTCCTGCGTGGGCTTTACACGAATTCCAGGTAGAATTCCAGGTAGAGTTGCCCGTACCACCTGCTACTGTAGCCTCCAACAGGGGGAGGGTGGCTGCTGGGGCCTGGTCATGCCCTCCCTTCCTAGGAACAAGCAATGAGATGGAGGGGGAGGGGTCAGATTCTCCGGGGCTGACTCACTGGCTGTCCCAGTGGTGCTGGCTGAGGCATTCCTTCCTTTCCCGCCGTCCTCTGGATTATTAGTAAGCCAGCTTCAGCTCGTTTTGTTTTTGAGATAGGGTCTTCCTGTGTTTTGTCTGGGCTCCTCTCAAACCCGTAGTCTCAAATGATCCTCCTGCCCCAGCTGCCCAAGGAGCCAGGATTATAGGAGTATGCTGCCACCGTGCTGGCTCTTCTCTTGAGGAAATGCCATTACCCCAGGCATGGAGGGAAGGAGAGTGGTGCCCAGCGCGTACACCTCTCTGCAGGGACAAGTATCTAAACAGACGCCAAGCACAAATGTGGCTGGGTACTAGCCCCTGTCTCCCGGTCAAGTGAGGGAGAGTGAGTCAATTTCATGGCATGGTCCTCCTAAAGTAGGGGCACAGTCATCCCAGAAGAGGAAGCTGTTGGCTGTGGAGTGGAGAGGTGGCAGAGGCCTTGAGACCACACTGAAAAGCTGGGCTTCTGGGTTCGTTGTTTATCCCTTTTCCCCCTGCTGGTCTGGTCTTAGTGGCCCCATCTGTTCAATGGGGGTGGCTTTGGCTACTCAGCAGTATTCTTTTTGGTTCCAGACTCCCAAGGGAACACTAGCCTTCACCTGCCTATGCAGCTGGTCTGTCTGTGGGAGGCCGCAGCTAGCAGCTTTAAAAGCTGTTGAGATATGAGGGGTGGTGGAAAGGGAGGAGCCTGTCATGGCTTCTCACCAGTGCTAAACTGTCTCACGGTTCCAGAATGGAAGCCCTCTACGTCTACACCCAACAAGGTCTTCCCCACAGCAAAAACAAACGCATCCTCGCTTGCTGTGCCTGGCTGAAGGGACCCACTTGAGACCCCCCCAGCTCTAGCTCTGGAGAGCGGGTTCTAGTTCAACTCAGTTATTGACTTTGTGATCTTGAACAAGTCATTTGACTTCTCTGAGTCCAGAGAATTGAACTGAACAAGCTGATCTCTCCAGCTGCAGCCAGAGGGCTTGCTCTTGCAAGCTTTGCAAGTCTTCAGTCTTTGCAAGGTCTTGGACAGAGCAGTTTGGGGAATTGGGCACCTCAGCACAGGAGAAAGCAAGCTACAGTCACTCCCCCCTCGCCCCCCGTGGCTGGAAAGTCTGATTTGGGAGGCTGCAAGCTGCCCTGCAGTCCTCGGGTGTGGCAGTATCTGGTGACCGCCTGTCAAACTGGCTGTAGTCAGACCTGGGAAAGAGACAGCAGCCAATGGTTGGCTGACAACACTGGTCCCATAGCCCTGACGCAGGGGATTTAATGAGGGGATTGCTACCTACTTACCAGGCCAGATGCCATGCCCTGGGGTGGGCACCAGCTGGAGGGCAGGAGTTGGCACTAAGGCCCAGTCAGCTCACCTGGAACTCGGGGAAGGGATGGTCTTCTCTCATTGGCCACTTGGGGACAGTTGCCAGGGTGTGCAATGAAAGATCCATAGGATGGCTCCAGCTACTTCCCAGCCGCCACCTTCCCACCATCAACTAACTGCTCAGGGCTTCAGTGATTTGACATTTATTCTCATCTTGAAAAAAAAAAAAGTGGTGTTGCACCTGCAATCCCATCACTCAGGAGATGGAGGTAGGGAGATTGGAAGTTCAAAGTTAACCTTAATTACTCTGAGGCCAACCTGGGCTACTGAGACTCTGTCTTTAAAAAAAAAAAAAAAATTTTTTTTTTAAATTAGATAGATCTGTAGACATGCAGAAATTGGTTCAGTTTTGACACACAGTCTTGCCAGCCCTTGCTGTAATATCCCAGGTTGGTAACCAACTCTCAGTGATCCTCCTGCCTCAGCCTCCCAAGTGCCAGGGTGACAGGCATTCTCCACCAGGCCCTGCTGAAGTTTGGAAAGGGCAGCCAGGGGGACCAGATGATCTGCTGCTTCTGAAGCCTCAGTCTGAGTGGTAGAGAGAGGGTAGGCAGGCAGCAGCTGGAGGGAGGGAGTTTAGCATCCATGACTGGGACCTCTAGGCTCCTCACCCAGCAGTAAAACAGAAGGACAGGTCTGGAATCAGCCATACCTGGGTTTGATGTGTCTTTACACCTGTGAACCTAAGTTTCCCAGCAGCTGAGCCACACCCCAGTCCCCTCCCCCACGGTAGATTCTGCTGAGGTCCTGCATCTGGCGCTTACTAAATACCTGCCTGTGGGACTCCTCCCTCCCCCACCCTTGGCTGAAAGCTCCGACGGCGGGTCCTTTCCTTCCCACCCCCGTTACCATGGCAATCCCTTCAGGAAGTCTTCCTGGAGGAGCCGCCCGCCGGATTGCCCCACCGCAGCTTGCCTCCTCAGCATTTAGATGCATTCTTCGCAGTAATTCCCTGGGAGCCCGAGAACAGCCTGCCCCAGAGCTGGCGCTGACTTGGCAGTGAGGTGGGGTTGCAGAGTCACTGAGGGCAGGAATGCTGCCTGGTCACTTTCAGGACCATGTGTGGAGAAGGGCTTGGGGTTGCTGAGAAACCTAATGTCTGTATTCACCCCCGGCTTCACTCCTCTCCCACGGTGCCACTGCCCAGGGCTCTAGCTAAGAACCGAGTTCCAGAAGGCTTAGGTGTCCCTGCTGTGTTCCAGGGCTCTCCTGGATATGAGGCTCCATATCCTCCTGCCTCAGCCTTCTAAGTGGCTGGGGATTACTGCTTGGAGCCTTAGTCTCCTCATCTGGAAAGCTCGTGTGGTATTTTGCTTCCCTGGTTTCTGGTGAGGATGGGGGCAGGGGAAGGAGTGTGTGTCAGTCCACAGAAAGAATGGGCTGGGAGAAGGCTGAGCAGGTAAGGGCTCTGGCTGCTCTTCCAGAGGACTGGCTTCTAGTCCCAGCACTCACGTGGTGGCCCGCAACCACCTGTAACTCCTTCTACCTCTTCCGGCCTCTGTGGGTGGTGCATATGTGTGCATACAGGCGACACACACACACACACACACACACGGACATAGAATAAAAACAAATCTTTTAAAAATTGAAAACTTAAAAAGTTAATGTGGTGGCACTTGCCCTTAATCCCAGCACTCAGCAAGCAGATTTCTTGAGCTCAAAGCCAGCCTGGTCTGTGGAGCAAGTTCCAGGACAGCCAGGGCTACTTGTAGAAACCCTGTCTCAAAAACTTTTTTCCTAATTAAATATTGAAAACAACCAACCAAGATTCTGGGCCTAGCCTGGGTAATCTGTAATCTACAGCCTTGGGCGTGTTTCTTTACACCTCTGTATCTCTGGCCTTCCATCTGTCAGGGAACTGTAGTCCTCAAAAGGATTCTCACGGAAGTTAATGTGTGAAGCCACGTGGGGTCCTTAGCAGTCCGCCTGAGCCAGTTAGTCACAGAGTTTGGCTTGCAGCGTTAGGAAGGTTGGTTATTGCAGTGGGAAGAACCTGGGCTCCGAACTGAAGGCCCAGCTCTGTATTTACCAGCTGTGTAACTCTGGTAGCTCTCAGGCTGCTCTGTGCCTCTATTTCCCAACCTGTGAAGCAGGAATAAACCTTGCCTCATCAGATTAATTACAAAGATTAAGTGAGGTTGTATTTTAATGCAAAGTGCTCAGTAAGTTCTCTGCTGACCTTTGTTATTTTTATTGCTCTTCTGAGTCATTCCTTTCAACTGGGGTTGGCAAATCAATGGAGGCTCTGCCAGTTAAAAGGTCTCACAAAGACAAGCTGGGGTCCAGGCACCTGACACCCTCTCCCCCACTCCAATCCCCTGCAGGTGGTCCGCAGAAGCCTGGAAGAACAGGGATTGCGGGTGCACAGCGTTCGCCTGCACGGCTCAGCTGCCAGCCACGTGCTGCACCCTGAGAGCGGCCTCGGCTACAAGGACCTGGACCTAGTGTTCCAGATGGACCTGCAGAGCGAGGCCTCCTTCCAGCTCACCAAGGCAGTGGTCCTGGCTTGCCTGCTGGACTTCCTGCCAGCCGGAGTGAGCCGGGCCAAGATCACACCGCTGACGCTCAAGGAAGCCTATGTGCAGAAGCTGGTGAAAGTGTGCACGGACCTGGACCGCTGGAGCCTCATCTCGCTATCCAACAAGAGTGGTAAGAACGTGGAACTCAAGTTCGTGGACTCCGTGAGGCGCCAGTTCGAATTCAGCGTTGACTCCTTCCAGATCGTCCTGGACTCGATGCTGCTCTTTGGCCAGTGCTCCTCCACGCCAATGTCGGAGGCCTTCCACCCCACCGTGACAGGCGAGAGCCTGTACGGCGACTTCGCCGAGGCCTTGGAGCACCTGCAGCACCGCGTCATCGCCACGCGCAGCCCCGAGGAGATCCGCGGCGGCGGCCTGCTCAAGTACTGCCACCTCCTGGTGCGGGGCTTCCGGCCGCGGCCCAGCACGGACGCCCGCGCCCTGCAGCGCTACATGTGCTCGCGCTTCTTCATCGACTTCCCGGACCTGGTGGAGCAGAGGCGCGTCCTGGAGCGCTACCTGGAGGCTCACTTCTGCGGAGCGGAGGTGGCCCGCCGCTACGCTTGCCTCGTGACGCTGCACCAGGTGGTCAACGAGAGCACCGTGTGCCTCATGAGCCACGAGCGCCGCCAGACGCTGGACCTCATCGCCATGCTAGCCCTGCAGGCGCTGGCCGAGCAGGGCCCCGCTGCCACGGCTGCCCTGGCCTGGCGACGGCTCGGCTCGGAAGGGGTTGTGCCAGCAGCCCCCGTTAATTACTATGTGACCCCCATGCAGCCTCTGCTGCCCCGGGCTCACTCCTACCCCACCTGGCTGCCTTGCAACTGACTCTGAGCCGGGCCAGGAGGGAATGAGCTTCGTGGGGGGTTGGGGGGGGTCATCAGGTATGTGTGGAGGATGTTACCAGACACAGGCCGCTTGTGCCAGCTGGCCCGGCACTGTAGGGCTGGGCCTTTGAACAGACCTGACTTTCCTGCGCCAGGCATCTATGGGCTTAAAACCAAGTCAGGGTTCTTGACAGAAGGCCCTTTTGGCCTGGTACCACACTCTTGGACCTGCATGACTGTGGGGACACAGGCTACTTGTCCTGAAAAGACAAAGACAGCTTTGGCGGTAGCCTCAGAAGCAACACGGTGGGTTGATTCCCATGGCCTAGAAGGGGTCAGCCCGCAGGGGCCAGAAGTTCCTACACAGGCTAAAATATGATACCATGTAACAGGACTACTCTCTTGGGGTCCAGCTGAGTCAATCAGAGAGCCTAGTGGTCCAACCTCGCTGATCATTAGGAAGAGGTAAACTAAGTCGTGAGGCAGCTTTCTGGGTTTTCTGCAGGGATGGGAATTCAGTCTCCCGAAACTTGTGTCCTTGCCCTAGGCTGTAAGGACTTCCTGTGGGCTGAGGTAAATAGTGGACAGATTCCAAACAGCCAGAATAGGCGCAACCCATAACCCCTCCTCCCCCAGGGTGTCACCTCCTCTCCCTTCCCTTGTGCCTCCCAGGAGCCCTGCTGTCTGGGCGCTTCTGTTGGAGGCTCCTAAGTTCAAAGCTGCCACAATCCAGTCTACTACTCTGACCCCACTTGCTTGGTTATAGGCCTTTCACACAGTGGAGGGAGTCACGGCCCATCTCTTTTCCCGTTCCTCTGGATTTGTTGCTATTTTGCACTCTTCCCACCAATAAAGATTGCCTACACTGAGCATAACTGTATCTTTCTCCCAGGGAAAGGTGCTCGATGGATTCGGGCTGGCACTACCTCCTCAGGCTGAGTTTGGCTCGTATTGTGGGAGGGGCCAAGGAGTGACTGCAATGTACTGCCCACAGCTTGGCAGCTGTGAGCTGGAGTGTTGCCTCCGCAAGTCCAGACCTTGTTAAAGAGAATATCCATCTCTCATCTGTCCCTGAGTCCTAAAGTCCTGGAGTTCAGTTCCTGGAAGCAAGCAGGGTGACTCTGGAATGAAAGAAAGCTGCTAGGGGGAGGGGGAGGTTGGAGCGTTCCCCAGAGCCCTGGTGCGTTCTCCCTGATAAGTGAGCATAGGCTTGCTCTGGCTTATTGTAAACAGGTCCCTTAGAGAGGGCCAAGGTCTCTCTGAAGCCAGATAGTTGCCAGCCAAGTGGTCAAGGAAAGCAGCTTGTGGGGAGCTGTTTCCTCGGGGCATTGGCCACTCACCTCTGGACGCTGCCCACTGTTTACCCTGCCTCTTTGATCTGGGGATTGCAAAGCCTTCAGCCTCATTAGGCTCCTCTGAAGTGGTGACTGATGGTTTCAGCCAGGGTGGAAAAAATAATGCAGCAAAGGAGACCTCAGGTCGTCAGATGAAGCCCTCACCTGCCCTGTGGGTTTGGCTAGAGGCCTCACCTGAGTCCTTCATGGCCAGGGAGGCAACTGAAAGGGCTCTCCTATCCCACCCAGCTGCGGCCACCTAACCGAGGTCTTATCCTACCTCCTGATTGAGCCGTGTGAGCCTGAACAGGAGCAGGAAACACTGGAAACAGCAGGCTCAATGAGCTGGGCAGAGGGCTCATGGACATGCTCAGTTCAGACGAGAAGCCCGTAAGTCCTGACCTTTTGTATCCATGGTCTGGGCCCACCACGTCATGGTTCTGGGTGGTAGGGTCCCTCCCCTTGGGACGGTTACACCCTGATGGGGCAGACAAACAATGTGGTCTTAGAAGGTCAGCAATGCATAAAAATATACATAACAAGGTCCTAACACAAGGAAGGTGTCCCTCACTAAAAGATGGTATTCGACTGACCAAAGACTTCAAGGTTCTGGGAAGCGAGCCATTTGGCTGTCTGGAGAAAGTATTCTGGGCCAAGGGAACTCTTCCGAATGTACCCGTGTCCTGGCAGGCATGTCTGAAGGAGAGCGCCTGTGCCTGAGGATGTCAGGCAGTCCTGTGTGGGTGTGGGTGCTCTCTGGAGCCGGTACATACATGCGCATGGAAGTGAGGAGCCGGGGGGAGTGGCAGGAGTTCATAGCAACAGTTGTCAAGCACGACTCATCCCAGGCCAGATGCACGCTTAGGTATGCCCCAACATTTCGAGCTTCACCCCCGTCACAACTCCAGAGAACAGTATTCAACTCCCATTTTACAGACAAAAACGAGGCCAGAGTGGTCCAAGAGGTTGGTCAGACTCAGGACGTGGCATTCCACCCCTGCAGTGTAATTCCACGTGAGTGGCGGTGACAGCCGTGTCCTGCGCGTGTGTGGCAAGGCTCGGGCTATTTTCTGAATGACTGGCAGGGTGTAGTGATGAGCCAAGACATACATATTCTGATGTATCTATGCCAACAGTCATGGCTTGTGGTGACTGTCTGGGACCTGTGGTAACACCCCTGACAGCCTGTGGGTGTGGCGCGTTGTTTCCTGGTGTGAGAGAAACACTGTGCAAGACACTGTTCTCTTGGACCATCATCCCTGGCGCCACCCGAGAATGTGTTGCCGTGTAGGCAATCAGGAATTTGGAGTCGGCCAGAGCGCAGCTGAGGGGAGAGCCATGGTTTTCACCTTCCAACTGTTGTGTCGGTGACAACCCACCTACCCTTCCTACCTACCAGCCTGCAAGTCAGAGTGCCAAGCAAGGCCAGTAGCTGTGAGGAAGAGTAAGCCCAGGCAGGTGCATGGGGGCAGGCAGGCCCCTCCCAGACATGATGTCCACCCTTGTACTCAGGGCCCTGGGGAGACTGCTGGATGTCATCAATGGCCCCCTTGTTCCCCGGTTTCCTGCTGTTCTCCAGCAGGAGCCTGAAAGGACCCGGTGTTCATTGTCCTTGCTCCCTCCCTCCCTCCCAGGTTGCCACGGTCCACACCCCTCCGGCCATGGCAGCAGCCCTTTAAAACTTGCCTCCCTGCCGCCCGACAGTGGGGAAATTACTCTCCTGAGCTCTGTCTCTAGAACCCAGGGCTTTGCGCATTCTAGGCAGACAACCTTATTACTGAAGAAGTTGTATCTCCAGTTCTGTTTTTCTTGGAGACAGGGTGTCCCTGTGTAGCCCAAGCTAGCCTTGAATTCCCCCCCTCCCTTCTCACCTCAGTTTCCTGAAGGCTGGAATTACGGCCATGTGATTAGCCTGGCTCCCTTTTGGTAGTTTCTTAGGCACACCCCACACCTTTAGAACGAGTCCTTTAAGAAAAAAACAAAACGAAACAACAACAAAAAACTCATCCCAGTTTCAACACACCAGGCTCCTGAGACCTCAGTAGGCAGATACCACAACCCCACACCACAGGCTGCTGCCATCCACCACCACAGTGCCCCGGCCTCACCAGGTGGCACTCTGGGCTTCATCACACCCTTGGTGACAGAGAGACTTCCTGAGGGTCAGCTCTGAGCCAAGTCAGGGGAAAAATCAGTCTGTAAACCAGTCCCCAGGCTGACTGCCAGCCCAACAGAAGCCCCTCAGGAGCTGTCAACTGAAAGAGACCCATCCACCCAGAGGCAAGGTGGCAAGGACACTGGCACCGTGAACCTCAAAAACCACACGCGCCATCCTCACGCTACTGAGCTTTATTCTTCCTGCGCTGTATACAGTTGGGGACCAAGTCGCTATACAGCCACTGTACAGAAGCCTATGGGTTCCGGGCGGTGCGCGTAAATGTGCCTCCTTCCCTCTATCAGGATACATGAAGAAGGGGATTTCCTTTGTGCGGTTACGTTGGCTTTGGATGTTTGATGTTGCCACTACCTCATCCTGAGAAAGAGGTGTCCCCCTAGGAGGCAGCAGCTGATTGTCTGCAAGGAGACCCAGGTATGTCCTCACTCACACGGGGAGGACAAGGGCACTAGGTGGGGGAAATGGGGGTTTCCTACAGCAGTGATTTGCCTCAAATAGGCTTCCTGGAGCTATTGGACAAAGAAGTGGTGACAACAGGGACTCCGGCCTCACTGGGACTTAAGAATGAGGAGTCTGTCTTCAATAAGAATTCTCCTCATGGTCACACCAGCAATGTGTGCTGTGGTCTTGGCTAATTGGATAGCATCTTGGGTCTCTGTATAAGCAAAGTATGGAAAATGCAGTGTACGGAAAGCAATTCAGAGTACAGAAAGTTCCCAGGACCCAGCCCCTTGCCACCGTGAGGGCTCCTGAGAGGAGGGCGCCGAGACGGGTACAGTCAGTCCTGGAAGTCTTCCTGAAGGCGGTATCCAGAGAAGGAGCAGAATGCAGAAGTCCTGACCCATGGAGTGGCGGCTCTGAGGAGCTGGAAGAACAATGCCAGAGCCTTAATTACCCTTTCCGGAAGCTGCTCCACCCCACCCAGAGCCTACCACATCTGTCTCCCCGAGAAGGACCATGGTGGGCAGGCAGGGGAGGAGGGTTTGCTCTGGAAAGGGGCTCGGAGAAGCAGAGGTCCCATTGGGTCTTTGTCCTTGGCTGGGATCCCCACCAGTCTGAGCAGCTGGAATGGAATGTTCCTGTAATGAAGAGGCCGCCCCTCCTCCACTTCTCCCCTTATGGAGCTCCCTAGGGCTGTTCCAGGGATCCCAGATATGGTCATGCCCCAGAGCTGTGGTTCTCACGCACCCTAACACTGCGACCTTTTACTTCAGCTCCTCGTGTTATGGTGACCCCCCAACCATAAAATGATTTTGCTACTATTTCAAAACTAACTGTGCTACTATTATACATCATAATGTAAATATCTGATGGGCGACCCCCAAAGGGCCGGGACCCACAGGTTGAGAACCGCTCCTCTAGAGACACCGAGGCCTACACTGTTCTCTCCTGTCCTTTGAAGAGTGGTCCCAGCATTCACAGAGCCCCACCATGAGGTATTCAGTAGGACTACTTTTCTTTCGGTTTGGTTTTTGAGACATGGTTTTTCTGTGTCGCCCTGGCTGTCCTGGCGCGTGCTCTGTAGACCAGGCTGGCATCACTCAGAAATCCACCTGCCTCCGCCCCCTAGTGCTGGGATTAAAGGTGTGTGCCACGGCCGCCTGGTTCAGTAGGACTTCTTATACACACAAGTTAGCTCTTCCCTAGTGTCCCAGCCTCCCTCAAAATTCGAGGGCTGGGGAGATGGCTCAGAGGTCAACAGCTTGCGCTGCTTTTGTTCGGGAGCCAATTGAGTTCCCAGTACCCACATCAAACAGCTTACAAAAGCCTGTAACTTCACCTTGGGGCGGGAGAATCCAACACTTCTACCCTCCAAAGGTACCTGCACACACATACACATTACTTAAGTAAAAATATTTTTTTTTTCCCCCAAGAAGGCCTGGTGGTGGTACCTCACAGCTTTAGTCCCAGCGCCTTTCCTGCCATCCAGGCTTTTTGCTCCCTTGATACCAGACAGACATTCCTGCCCGGGCCTTCAGGGAGGGTGGACAGCCCTGCAGCCCTGTACATCTCTGGCTCACCCTTGCCATAAGCCAGGTAGGTATGTTGAGTCAGCTTGACTCACCCCCAGAACCCAGACAACCCGGCAAGGATGTGTTGTCCAGTCCGGGGGGATGGGCACAAGACATACTTTGCCGCCCCTCCAGCATCTTCTCCCTCCCTCCCCAGAACCGGACCCCTTAAAAGCGAGGACCCGGAAGTGCCCCCCAAACGATGCTGCCATCATCCCACTGAGCTTGTGTAGAGTGCTTAGCACAGTGCCCAGTGTGAGGAACGCGGTTAACTCAGAGCCCAGAACCAAGGGTTCTCGTCTCTGGCCAGGGTGTAGTCAAGGAGTAACAGGGGAAGAAATCGGCTGGGGATTTCCCAGCTTTCCTAAAGGCCTCCTCCCCGCCTGGCGCCTCGCCTGCTGAGACGCCAGGGCACCTGAGTGGTTCTCAACAGTTGGAGCTGTCAGCACAGGACCCTGCCCACTGCACGTCTGCAACACCCTAGCCAGGACTTGTCGCTTCAGCCTAATCTCTGGGAGGCCACCTTGGTCGTTGGGTGGTGGCAGGACCCGGTGCTGTCATTAGCGGAACCAATCTATGAATACCTCTGGTGGAAGCCTCGTTCTAGAATCTCTCCTGCGCCTCTCCTAATGGGCTCCGGGAACCGCCACCACCGCTCCCGAGTGCCGGGGATTAAAAACGTTCGCCACCACCGCCCAGTTATTCTGTGGACCCTTACAGCCCAAAGCCAGAAATCCCCGGGACCGCAGACGAGGGTGACTGAGGTCCGGGCCACCCGGAACCCAGCATGTCCCCGGCCACGCCCCCAACTCTCGCGAAGCAGCTCTACGCTGCCCTCTGGTGGCACTGCTAAGCTGGGCCCGGCCAAGAGAAAAGGGGCTTGTTCCTCTCTTACTGAGCGCCCAGGTTCACTGGGTCACACAGAGTGTCCTCCGTGCACAGATTCCAAGGGTCCCTGACTGTGCCCCATCTGCAGGCTAGAGGCCACCAAGAAAGTTTTCACCCAGAGCAACACAGTGAGACCTTGTCACACACACACAAAAAGTGTTCAGGAAGTTGCGTGGCAAGCGTGTTTTCTGCTCAGGGGTGGAGTAATATCAGCCAAAGTCTAAAACATAATTCTCAGGGCTAGGGATACAGCTCAGTCGGTAGGGCAGGGTACAGCCCAGCATGCACCAGGCCCTGGGTCCAACACCAACACCACATAAACACAGAATGGTGGGGTGTGCACCCGGAACCCCATTACTCGAGAGGTGAAGGCAAGAGATCAGAAGTTCACTGTTGGGACCATACAGGTAGTTCAGCAGCTAAAGGTGCCTGCCCCCAGGCTGACCCCTTGAACTCAATCTCTGGAACCCCCTTGGTGGAGGAAAGGACAGATTCCTCAAGTTTTCCTCTGACCTCAACATATCACTGGCGCATGCCTGATCCACAACCCCCCCTCCTCCACACACAAATAAATAATGAATGTTAAAAAGCTTTCAAGGTCAGCCTCAGCTAATATATGGAAGTTAAGGCAAGCCTGTCTCAAAAAAATAAAATTAAAATAAAATAATCTGAGCTGCAATTAGGTCTCCTGAGACAGTGCTGTCCAGGGACAGCTGCCTGGAAGAGGTCTGGAAGGCCAGCCCTTAAAAGCAGAGGCCCTCTGGCATGCTTCCTCCTGAAACCCGTGGAGGGGAGGGTGGGGCAGACCTGAGATCTCCACACAAGGTGCTAGGAGGGCCAGGCAGGCTGAGAAGGCGGCTTTTAGTTGATTGAGAAGCCCACAACCCACGGCCTGAGATTCAGGTCGCTGAGCTCTGCAGGGAGAGCAGCCTGGTATCTGGAAGGGGAAGGAGGGGCCAGATCTGCCTGTCCCCTCACCTTCCCACCCACCCTTCTTCCATCGAGTGTCATCTCTGACTCTTCATGTACCTACCCACTCCACCTCTGAGTCACGTCAAAGCTGATTAAAATAAATCCCAGAGAAAGTCCTAACTGTGGTGACAGAAAGTACCCTATGCCATTAGCTAAAAGCTTCTTCAGATGAAAGGCCCCATTCCTGCAAACCAGAAACTTAGCAGTCCTGGCGGCAGCCCAGCGCTGCAGCCTGAACTCCGGCCATGTCACCTCCAGGAAGTCCTCTGTTCTCTGGCCCTGAGGACTCAAAACGACCTGTCTCTGGGAGATCAGAACATGCCATAGTCCCCCCACGACCCCTGGGCTGTGGCTTTCTCAGAAGCTCTGAGTCTCCAACTAAGAAGGCTTCAGGAAGGCCTTCTGAGAACCCAGCAGTAAGTTGGTTGCCTGATGGGGACAGGGGCAGCTGAGGACTCCTGCCTATCACAGCCATACACCTGACTCTCAGAATTACAGTATACTTGTGGCTCTGACATCTTCCTTCCTCTTCTTTCCCTTCTCAAGCCTGACAGGAGGGACAACAATAGTCAGAGATGTGAGGAGATGGCCCAGAGAGGGGACAATATTGTTCTAGGTCACTGTAGACAGGGTTCAGGGGTCAGCTCTCCCTAACTGGAATAACGATGAAAAGGGGACACACAGAGGCCTAGGACCAGGCTCTTCTCTCCTCTCCCTCTGGCATGTGACCTTGAGAAATCCCTTTTCCAGTCTGTAAAATGAGAACTTTAATTAGCTCCTAGCCCCTGAGCAGAGGTTGCGCCTGTCTCTAGGTGTGATTTAAACATCCTACCAGGACTTACAGTGGGAAAATGAGTCTTGTGCCCTGACTTAGCCTCCCCACAGCCCTTCTGAGAGGTAGTTATGCCCACTGTCGACTGCCCCTCATAGCTGAGTGGGGACATAGCTGAAGGGCATCTGGGCAGGAAGCAGTAGGTGGCATTTCTCGTCTGGCCCTTTAAGGGAAGTTGATGCCATGCTTGCCCCCTTGGGGATGGCTCCATCCCCGGGAGAGCCATCTTAGGGATGCGTTGGGGAGGGGCTGATGGTTGAGCAGGTGACAGACACCCCAATTCTGGTTATCTCCATCATGCTCCAAACACAGGTAACAAAAAATTATTACAAATATGAGAAAAGCTGTCTCCTAGCAGCAGAGAGGCCTAAGTACGATGGGGACAAACCTTCAACCTCTACGGGATTCTGTCTCCCCCAGTGGGAGACAGGGAGGGGCTCAGAAGAGGAGAACTCAGTTATACAGCCCTGAGCCAGCCGTCCTCCCACCCCTCATCCGGGGACCTTATTGTTCTTCCCTCTGAAAGAGATGGAGCTGGGCTGTGTGGAAACCAGCAACTTCAAGGGCAGGGATTTACAGTGCAGGGGACCCAGGAGAGACCACAGGAGCGCAGGCGACGGTGGCAGATGTTACAATGTTGCAGCAGGCTCCAGCTGGTTAAAGTTTGCCACAAATCCCCCCCACCCCGGAAACGAACACTCTCTACTATGTCAGCTCTGTAAGGGAACTTGGAACTGCCATCTAAGCCATCATGAAGAAGCCACAAACGGAGAGCTCTGTTAGGGTCCCACAGATGGCAGACGCCCTGACACGGGAGAGCCCGGACACTGCACCCTCGACACAGACACCCGCTGTACCCCAGAAATCACCAGACAACACCACCGCACCTCAGTCTCACTTTCAGGGGCCCCCGGCCCCCCGGCGGCCTCCTCCGCGTAGATGACGCCGTCCATCTACCCAGCACCTGGATCCGTCCGTCCGTCCTTCCTTGCGCACCCGGGGGACCGCCCGTCTCGGGAGGCAAGGGGTCCCGGGGGCTGAGGTCAGCGCTGGGGGGAGGCGGGGCCGCGAGGCGGGCTGCGGCGGAAGGGCGAGTCCGGCTCGGGGCCGTGGCCGCGCCGCAGCCGCCCCGCGCCCCAGGGCACGCAGCTCCCCAGGCCGAGCGCGGACGCCAACAGCGCGGGGGGACGACCCCGGCGGCCGCGGCGCGCGCCCTTCTTGAGACGCGACCCGTGCGCCGCCAGGTAGAGCTCGGCCTGGGCCACGCCGCCGCTCAGGCGGCTCAGGCTCTCGGCGCGGTGCGCCAGGCGCAGCTCGGCGGCCAGGAAGACTCGGTGCAGCTGCAGCACCCGGCTCTCCAGCTCCGACACCAGGCGCCGGCGGCCCTCCACTTCCAGCAGGCGCCGCCGCGCTTCGGCCAGCTCCAGCGCGCGGCCCCCGGCCCCTGCCGCCGCGCCCGCGCCCCCGATCCCCGCCGGTCCCCCGACCCCCGCTCCCCCACTAGCACCCTGGCGCCAGCGCTGCAGCTCCTGCCCCTCCGCGGGTGTCTCGGCCGCCTTCGGAGACGGCGGTGACTGAGCGGGGGTCGGGGTCGAGGTCGGAGATGGGGGCGGGGGCTGGAGAGACGCCAGGGGCTCCCGGGGTGGCGGCGGGGGCGACCCCGGCTCTGCCGTCCCTTCCTGGGCCCCTGGGCCGCAAGCGCTGATGCGGCAGCCCGGCATCCCCCCCAGCCCCGCGGCGGCCCCGGGCTGTCGGTGCGCGGGGAGGAGAGACGCCGGGCACGGGACCCGGAGAGGCGGCCGCAGAGCACACACCCAGGCCGCACGCGCATCCCAGCCTCTTATAGCACATGGGGCGGGGCGATGGGCGGCACAGCCAATCCCAGACCTGTATGTCCTGAATCTGCCCTGCCTCCCACCGCAGAGCGTGTCCCCCCAGGAACTTCGGGTTCCCTGTCCTTCTCCCAGAGTAGCCCCCTTTTGAGTATCACCCCAAATTCTGGGTGGATGAGCGGCGGCCGCTTTTCTCGCCTGGACTCTTCTCTGTAAACTCCGATGGTAATGCTTAACGGTCGTACATTTCAGTCTCCACCCAGAGGAAGGTCTTGGCTGGGCGTCACCCCCACTCCCTACGCCGGCCGCAAGACGGCCTAGAACTTGGCGCTCCGGATCTCGTAGGTCACAAGGTTGGCTAGGACGCCCTCCTCCCCGATTTCTCTGCATCTGTGGGGTGGGTAAGGCAGGCGGACCACTGGCGCCCACCGGAGGGTGGGCCTGTGACTGGATTACTCGCTCACCAAGAAGGACTTGGCTTGCAAAACAAAAGCCACAGCCGCCGCTGCTGGGTCCACCCACCTTCGTGGGGCCCTCAGAGAACCCCAAGGTGTGCAGAATTACTTTCCAGCTCCAACCCTGCCTGTGTGTGTGCACCAGCGAGCACGCAAGTCACCTCCCCGATGCCTTCCACATGGAGGGGGAAAGAAACTCTGAAGACGCGATGGCCTGCTCGAGGACAGGCTGCCGGCTGGTGGCTGAGTCTGGACGGAAAGGAACAGGCTCAACCATCCATCAGAAAGCCCTTGGAAAAGCTTGGTACACGCCAATCCCCATATCTAGGGTTTTAATCATCCTGGCTCTGCCCACTTTCTCTCCCCAAGGCAGAAATAGCCCTGCTGTTTTTCTTCCCAACGTTGGCCAACGCCAACGGCTCTGCCTCCGATTCTATCTATTTGAGAGTACCATCGGAGATGGAAGGGGTCCGTGGTGGGAGGGGGCAAGGTCGTGGAGAGGGGGGCGGGAAGGCAGCTCTGAACCCCATTGAGAAGGACTGCAAAGCGGAGCCCCGGGTTTCAGAGGATCTGCCAAAGGTGTGGCCAGCGCCCAGAAGAGGCGTCTAGCTGGGGGTGGGGGAGCCTCAGTCCCTCCCTCCCTCCCCCTCTCCTTCTCTAAGTGTCTACAGGTGCCTTTTGATTAAGTGACCCGGACTCTGCTCTCAACAGCGAGTCTCCAGAGAGGCAGCTTCCGGAGAGAGAGAGGAAGGGAGGGAGGGTGAGGGGAGTTAGATTTAGAGAAGGGGGACAACTCACGGGTAGGAAAGAGATGCTCACTGAACTGGGGTAGCTCCCAGAGAAGGAGAGACACCCTTGGGGAGAGGAAGAGGAAGGGCGGCTCAGCTCGGTGCGTTCAGGGCTGCTGGTTATCGATGCGTACCTAGGGACGTGGCGGTCTCGGGTGGTGTGTGGGGAGAACAGCGCAGAAAGGGAAGCCCAGGCTTGGGAACTCAGAGTAAGAGTGGTTCACTGAGAAAGAGGGAGGCTCAGGAACTGTCAGGTTGTCTCCAGCAGGAAAGAACACCCTCCCTCCCTCCCTTCCTCCCTCCCTCCCTCATGGTGGCATCCTAAGTGTGGGTCTGTTTTGAGACCAACTTTGGGTCTCTTAGTACAAAAGCGCCCCACCCAGAGAAGCTGGGCTGCTGTTTCATGAATCAGAGAAATACCTGCCCCCAACTCCCCAGTTAATGGAGGTGGGGGACGCCCCCTGTCCCAACCCCTCATTTCCTTAGTGGCACCAGCCAGTAATTCCAGCATTTCTAAGGTGGAGGCAGGAGGATCAGGAGTTCAAGAACAGCCTGAGCTACATAAAACCCCGGCTAGAAAAACCAGGAATGCTGGCCCTTGCCCATCCTCCCAGCACTAGGCAGGCAGAGGCAGGAGAATATCTGTGAGTTCTAAGGCCAGCCTGGTCTACATAGTGAACTCCAGGACAGTCAGGACAAAATTGAAAAACCCTGTTTTTTGTTTGTTTGTTTGTTTGTTTTCAAGACAGGGTTTCTCTGTGTAGCCTTGGCTGGCCTGGACTCACTTTGTAGACCAGGCTGGCCTGGAACTCAAAGAGATCTGCCTGCCTCTGCCTCCCTGAGTGCTGGAATTACTGTGCCACTGCGCCCAGCTACACATACATAGTTTAAATGAACATTTCCCAACTTAGTCTGACAATACTACCCCAAAGGCCCTAGACTAGAAAAAATCCCAGTACCGAGCTTGAGAAGCCACCATTGGAGCGGTTGGTCTGGTAATCCAAGAAACTCCCAAAACATTTTAGCCTGTGGCCATTGCCTTGGTGGCTTCCCAAGGGGCCGAAGGTAAGTCTCTATGGCTGAAGACAGTATGCACTCTGAACACAGGACCCAAAGTATCCCAAGCTAGATCTGACCTGAAATTCTCTTCTCTAAAGACTAGCTTTTTAAGAAAAAGAATGAGAGTGGGTCAGGCAGTGGTGGTATACATCTTTAATCCCAGCACTAGGCAGGCAAAGGCAGGTGGATCTCTGAGTTCTAGGCCACTCTGGTCTACAGAGTGAATTCCAGGACAGCCAGAGCTACACAGAGAAACCCTATCTTGGAAAAAAAAAAAGGGGGGGGGAACAGGACAGAACCCCACACATTGGTCAGATCCAGAGAACCTGTCATATCTGGTGTCAAAACCTCCACACACTTCCTTTCAGAGACCTTGGCCATTGGTTTCTCTAAGAGGGGAATATGATCAGAGCATATTTACTAGGGGCTGGAAGTGTCCTGTGGTCCATCACGTGACAGGATGAGAGAGCAAGGCCATCCTCAGACACAGCAAATGCCAGGCCAGACCACACAAAACTCTATCTCAGAATGCAAACAGCGAGCTAGCTAAGTTAATAAGCGTTTGCTGGACGCATTGGTGTTCTCTGGTCTCCTGGAGGCAGCAGGCTTTTCTTCCTAATAGGAAACGGAAGCCCTCAAAGCCATCTAATTGAGTTGGATGCAGTGGCTGACAGCTGAAATCGCAATGTTCAGGAGGTTTAGGTAATAGGAATGCCAGGGGTCAGAGGCCAGTCTGGGCAACATACGGAGTTCCAGGCCAGTCTGATCGGTCCTGTCTCACAAAGATGAAGAGCTGGGCCAGCCAGATGGCTGGCCAGCTAAAAGTACATGCAGCACTCCCGGAAACTCCCTGTGTGCCTCACTCATGCTCACACGCACAGACACGCACAGACACGCAACAATAATAAATAACAACTTTTTAAAAGTTCAAAACTTTTTTTTTTGTTTTTTAAAGACAGGATCTTACTTTTTAACCTTGGCTAGCCTGGAACTGACTATGTAGACCAGGCTGGCCTTGAAAACTTACAGAGATCTGGCTGCCTCTGCCTCTGCCTCCCAAGTGCTTGGGATTAAAGGCGTTTACCATCACATCAGGAATTCAATATTTTATTCCTATCCTATAAGGTATTTTATACATGTGTAATATATATGTGTGTGTGTGTAATATATATATATATATATATATATATATATATGTACTTTTTTTTCATTATTGATGGAGTCTCCCTTCTATACTAGTTTTTCTTATCGCTGGGATCCTTTAACATTTAGTAGAATGTTTGGGTCTTAAAGCACTCACGTGTGTGTGTGTGTGTGTGTGTGTGTGTGTGTGTGTGTGTGTGTGTACACGCGCATGTGTACACATGCTGCTGTCTTCATTTGCAGGTCAGAGGTCAGCTTGTGGGAGCTGGTACTCTCCTTCCACCTTGTGGATCTCAGAGATTTAGCTCTGGTCCTCAGGCTTGCACAGCAAGTGCTTTCAACTCTGTGCCACTTTGCTGGACTGTTTTTGTCTTATTGATGTGGGGCCTCATGTAGCCCAGGCTGCTTTTAAATATACTGGGCACCTGAGGCTGGCCTTGAACTCCTGACCTGCATGCTTCTACTTTCCTAGTGGTGAAGTGACCATATTTGCCACCATGCCCAGCTGGGAAATGCATTGGGGGGGGGGGGGGGCGCTATTATGATCATTACATTTTCTCTGATCTTTATATGAAAATAGAGAAAATAATAAAATTAAAAAACAAAAAAAGATTGGAGATATCAGTTGGTGGAATGCTTGCTTGGTATGCCTAAGGCCCTGGTTTCAACCCCCTGCACCACAAAAACTGGGCGTGAGGGCAGGTGGCCCATGCTTGTAATCTAGCACTCAGGAGGCAGGAGGGTCACAAGTTCAAGGTCATCCTGGGCCGCTTAGAGTTGACTCTGTCTCAAAACAATATTATCTCACAACAACAACAAAGAATTATTAGAAAGAGAGAGAAAGGGGACATGGGAGCAGGGAGCTTGGGTTTGGATAGAGTTCAGCCCTTCCCTAGGTCTGCGAAGCCGAGAATGGCACCTGTCTGAGGAGAGGAAGTACCTGTGGCACAAAGACACGAAGATTCGTGCAAGATCTTATAGCTGTCCCCGTCTACCTGCCTCGAAGCCTGCGGTCTGAGTCCAAGACACTGGAAGCAAAAAGAGACCACCAGACCAGCCTCCAGAGTCCTACCCAGCATGGACCAGCCCCTCTCAGAAGGACATCAGCTGAGCATGGGGCAGGACAAAGGTCAAGGCCTGAGGAATCAGCTTCTCTCCAGGCCCCAGCACCAGCCCTCCCCTCCCCTCCCCTCCCCTCTTCGCATCTTCCTGGCAAGCTGGCCTGACACCCTCCAGGATGCGAAGGCACTTTAATAATTTAGCAGATGCAGACAAAGATAGCAGTTCTGAAAATAAGGCAGCCGGGGCCCCAGCCTCCTGCTCCCCTTTCCTGCAGGCATCGGTGAGGTAGCTCAGGTTGCCCTGTACAACTGTCAGCACCCCTCAGCCTACCAGTGAATACCTCATCCTTCTTCCCCTCCTTCTCCCCAGTCTCATATGAAGAGCCTTGGAATCCACCAAGGCTCAAAGCAGTCCTGCCTTCGGTTTCATTCACAGTGGCTCTAGCATAGCCCTGCTCTCTGGGCCTCTGC